GTAAAAGTCATAAATACCAAATTTAATGTTATTTACTCACCCTCTTCTTCACGAACGATACATTTCCAAAAAAATACGGGAAGTTGCGCGATACCGACTAATCAGTTTAGTTGCCTGTGGCGATTAACCGATTAAAGAAAGTGTTTCTTTTTCAACTGTAATCAATTATTTAAATGTCCGGGAATATTCAGGTGAAGGTATTTATCATTTATTTGGTACTTTCCTATTTTCTTACCAAAAAATTTACTTTGAAATGCGGATGCTAAATATTATTAGTAAAAAAAAGTGTGAGTACCGGTCCGTCAGGTCTTGAAATTAGACGAATGTTTTAGATAATTTTATGTAGTTTTCGAATATATAATTTGATCTTTGCGCACGACTTTGCAAATATAAGTTATTTTTGAGTTTATTAATTTTTGATTTTCAGCTTCTTTTTGCATAATTGCGTGAAAAGAATTTTTCGAACGATGAAAAAATCCCACCAAACATTTTGAAAAAGCGAGTATTTACACCTTTTTTTTATAGTATTACCTTTGTTTTCTGAGAGTGGAAAGCAGGAAAAAAATTTAACCAAAATTCCACCACATTTAATGACTGGCCCACATTTTTTTGTGAGTTTTGGACGTTATAGTGCTCCAATCTTCCCCATATTTTATATTTAGGTTTTTCTAATAAAATAAAGGCTACAAACTAAATTTCAACGAAATCGGATGAAATTTAATGTTTTCGACCAATTATTCCATCTTTACAAAATTTCACAATTCTCTATTTCTAAGTAAAACTAGAGTACATGTCAAGTTTCAGTGAAATCGGTGCAGGTATACTATTATTTCCACCTGCCTCCATATAGTCGAAACACTGTGCAATGTGCTGATAAAAAATATGCATTTTCACTTTTGTGCACGCATCGTAACATTATTATTATTATTTATTTAGTCTACAGAAAAATGTTTTCATTACATTATTGAGATAAAAAGATTTAGATATTTAAGTATGTATGATACATTACAGAGTGAAATAATTATAAATATTAACTTGTAAAGATAATAATGATATACAATAGCAATTTGAGTAGCTGGCGAGGCCTTGTCTCCAGTCTACTTTTGTGTGCGGCGGGCGGAGAGACCTAGTTTCCGCTCCGCGCTGTTTACAGGCCGTTGATCATGGTCGGAAAGGCCGAGCTTCCGATCCATGTTCCCGTAGTCATTACTTTGTAACTGAGGCAGGCGGAAAGTCCTAGTTTCCGCTCCGCGCTATAAACGAACTATTGGGCGAGGTCGGAAAGGCCGAGTTTCCGATCCCTGCTCGTATTGTCCTACGCGGTCGCAGAAATATACGAAGCCGTTACAATTGTACTAAGCAGTCATAGATATTGTGTAATTTTTTCGTTCACGGTAACAGATATTAGTTTATTTAGTTAACTTGTTGAGCAAAGTTTTCTTTATTACAAAAAGCGATTCAGATGTGTCGAAGCAATCATAATGCTTGTTAAAATCTTGGCATAAACACCGAAAAGCATCATGCATTTCAAAGTTTGATTTACAAATACTCAACACAATAGGTTTAAAATGTCTCGTGGGTCTTGTAGGAATACAAAAATTTATCTCACTCAGTAAAAAGGGACTACTGACCATCCCGTTCATTAATTTAATTAAAAAAAGAACACCAAGCATCTCTCTACGACTCTGAAGCGTCGGCAAATCTATAAGCTTCAGGCGATCCTTGTAGGGTGGGAGATTTTTAGACGAGTCCCAACATAAATTTTTGAGGGCAAATAACAGGAACTGTTTCTGCACTGATTCGAGCCTGTCACTATGAATTTGATAGCTAGGATTCCATACTATAGATGCATACTCCAAAATCGGTCTAACTAGAGAGGTAAAGAGAACTTTAGTGACATAAGGATCGTTGAACTCCTTGGCCCAGCGCTTAAGAAAAGCCAACAATCCTCTAGCCCTAATCACGCAGGAGTTTATGTGAGACTTGAATTCTAGTTTCGGATCCATAGTTACACCTAGGTCAATGAAATTGGTCACTTGCTCAACATTGTGGTCAGATATCATATACGAATTTGGATAGAACGATTTTCTAGAGAAGGTCATGAATTTACACTTTTTCAAATTTAGTGACATGGAATTTGCTTCACACCATTCGAAAATGCAGGTTAGGTCAGCTTGCAAATGCTCCCTATCTTCTGCAGTACTAATGTACTTAAAGAGCTTAACATCATCAGCGTACATTAAGCATTTCGAGTAATTCAACACCTTAGGAAGGTCATTTATAAATAAAATAAACAAGACGGGACCAATATGGCTGCCCTGAGGTACGCCGGATGTGACATGTATTGGCCGGGAGGTACAATTTTTAAAAATTACTCTTTGTTTCCTATCCACTAAGTAAGAAGAAAGCCAGCTGAGAAGAATAGGAGGGAAGCCAATTCGATCAAGTTTATATATAAGGGTTGAATGAGATACCTTGTCAAATGCCTTGCTGAAATCAGTGTAAATCACGTCCGTTCGAAGATTGTTTTTAAACCCATTAGACACATAAGTAGTGAATTCAAGAAGATTGGATACAGTTGATTTACCTTTGCAAAAACCGTGTTGCGATAGATCAATAGCAGAAGTAATAGAGTGAGATAGTTCTTCCGTAACGATTGCCTCAAAAACTTTAGCAATAGCACAAAGCTTCGCAATTCCTCTATAGTTTACGATGTTAGTCCTACTTCCATTTTTATAAAGTGGCAAGATAAACGAATCCTTCCAGGAAGATGGGAAGACACCCTGTTTTAGGGAAGCATTAAAAATATTTGCCAGAGGCTTATACAAATACTCTGCACAACTTTTAAGAACACTTGTGGGTATACCGTCTGGGCCAGCTGTATATGAAATTTTCAAACAATTCAAATGAATGAGGACGTCCGCAGCAGATATCGATGGAATTCGGATACAATCAAATGATGGCAGAAAGAATGGGTAGCTAGATAGATTCGAATTTAGTTGGGAAGATGTAGAACGGGCAGAGTAGTTTGACTCGAAGAAAGTCATTTAACTTCAATGTTGAGGGATAACCGTTAGTCTTACGCTTTGTGTTCACAAAGGCGTAAAACGATTTGGGATTAGAAACTATATTGATTCGAACCCTGTTAATATAATTATTGTAACACTTTTTGTTCAATACATTGTATTTATACCTAAGAATGGAGTACGCGGAGTAGTGAGAAGACAGGACAGATTTTTTAAAAAGCTTAAATGCCTTGGATTTTTGATTTTTCAAGCGTTTTAATTCGCCAGTAAACCACTAAGCGTTAGACGTTACATTAGCTTCCTTAACAAGAGGAATGATTTTACTGAAAATATGGCGTAAGGAATTGCTAAAATGTAAGGCACTATCTTCAGCATTCCCATCATACTGGACCAAATTATCTTCGATATCTCTAACCTAAGTTTACTATAATCTGCTGTTTTAAATGAGTAACGCTCCGCTCTTGATTTTTTATTGGTAAAGCAACATGAGTTGCGTGAATTTATCAAGGACAATTCTAGTGGTGGATGGTGAGAATCAACAGGGGTAATCAAAGCATAGCTAGGGGCTATTGTGACGTTGGAGACGTCGTCCACAAAACCTAAATCCAGACATTTACCTAAGTTATTACTAATAGAGTTGATCTGGTAAAGACTAAGGTCTGAAAGATCGTTCAAAAATTGATTGAAGAGATCACCAGAGGAATTTGGTACTAGAATACCATCTATTAGATCCCAAGAAACACCCGCAAGATTGAAGTCACCCAGGACAATAACAATATCGGAGGGCTTCACCATGGCATGCAGAGAGAGCAGTAAGGAGGAGTGTTTTAAATAAACAGAAAGGCTCGAGTTAGGTGGTATATAAGCAGCAACATGATAAACGCTAATAGAATGATATCTTATTCGAACGCAGAGGAATTCAACTTCATCGGTGTCAGCGAACTCAATTTCTACAGAAGAAAGGTCAGTCTGGACAGCTATTAAGACACCTCCACCTTTTTTATAAAGAAGTTGTTTTTTTTTAACTATCTTCTAATGAGAGCACATAAGCTTTCCACGTCTAGATTGATTCCTTTTATGACCCAGAAAACTATAAAAGTTGTCCGATAACAGTTTTAGGTCGCAATATCTACAGTAATATACTATAAAAACTGTGAGTGTCAGAATTAAAAAAAAGGAGTCACGCCATTTTGACTGTTCATAACTTCCTTTCTATTGCAAGAACATACTTCACGCACGGGGTGCATTCGATTCTCCTCTCCAAATACTACCACTTAATTATAAACTGAAACATGAGCAATGAACGCACCAATTTTTGGAACGTAAAAATAAAAAAAAAATAACAGTCACGCTTTTATTTGTGATCTCAATTCTCAATTTTATTTCTGAATTATATGCATATTTGGCTAGAAAATATGTACGGTGGCCCTTTTTTGCATTTACATTATCTATACATATACTATGTAACCTGATTTTTGTTTATAAACCAGCGAAAATTATGTGTCCAAATAAAAACGGGCGAGTCATGCGAAAGTTCGAACTAATTGAGAATTGTCTATATGTTTTCCGTCGCCAATTAGTGTTATTTCCCAACGTCTATTTTTTACGCTGCTTGATAACAGTTATTATCCAACGTTTATTTTTACGTTGTCTTATAACAGTTATTTCACTCCTGTTTTATTTTCATCATCTTTATCTTCTTCTCCATATCCGTTTTCGTCAACGATCTTATCTTGCAACGTTTATCAGACAACGTAAAAAAAACCTTGGATAATAACTGTTATCATGCAACGTAAAAAATAAACCTTGTCTTATAACTCTTATCGGCGAAATAAAGAAATATGTTCCATCTAATAACTGTTATAAAACAACGTTTTTGTTAAATTTCGTAATTCGGACAACGTTTTCAATTTGTAAATTCAGCATTGCACTGCTTTTTAACATTAAATACATGGCCTACAAGAAAGTAAACCAGCCCGATTTTTTCTTTCTTTCAAATATTGAACATATTAGTGATTATTGGTATTCACTATATCTGTCAGCTGCTTCTGACACTAATTCTTATCATGTCCAACCATTGTGTGTTTAATATTTTGCTCCTTTTGTCGAAGTATTTTTCACGAACCTAAAAACAGTTTTCGATACTTCAACAGGGAAAAGTACTAAAATATAAGCTTTCCTTGATTTATTTTGGCCGATTAGGTTCTGAACGATAGAAAATAAATTAGTTTAACAGGATACGTTCCAAGTTAGCAAAAAAGTTTTTTAGAACTCCTATTAAGTCGTAATGAAATGTACCGCAAATGTTAAGTGTAAAGTAGCCAGTGAAAAAGTAAAAAAAGTTGTTTTTGGATAATTAAGTACCCTTTCCAAAAGGATATATAACATGGTCTCTTTGTATTGTCGATATCATACTGATTCCATATGGAAAAAAAGAAATCATAGCTGACTTCGTTGCACAATTACCTAATAAATAAGTGTAACGTGGTCAGTGCTTTTCTTTTTATTTAAAAATTTTTTTATTGACTTGATACTATTCTCATTTCATTTTAGCAATAAATAATAACACATATTTAAGAAAGTCTTTTCATGAACAATTGCGAGTTGAGCATTATACTGCTTTTAATAATTATTCTATTGAAATAAAGCGATATTAACATTTGTAAAATATCCTTTGAAATCTTTATCTCTTAAGATTTTGACTATATATTTGCCTATATTTCAATCAGATTTTTTGCAACATATAAATCTGATAAGTTATCTGACCATTAAACGTGATTGTGCTCATAACACTACAATTTTATAGAATCTGGTACAAGTCTACACCAGACAATGAAAAGTTAATAATAATAATAATAATAATAATAATAATAATAATATTAATAATAATAGATAGGCCCTGATGTTTTCACACAAAGGGGACTCCGAACGGCGATTGTATTTTTATGAGAATCTGTTTTTCATGGCAGAAATACACTCGGAGGTTTGCCATTGCCTGCCGAGGGGCGACCGCTGTTAAGAAAACACCTTTTTTCTATATTTTTGCCATGTTGCTTTGACCAGGGATTGAACCCAGGCTAGGGTTGCCAGATTTTTTATCCGCGAAATCAGTTCGTTAGACTTTTTCATTCTAAAAAATCAGTACTTTTTAGTACGTTTTTATTCAAAGCAAAATTATGAATGCAAGTAAAAGAATATAATTTAAAACGCCAGAGTTCTTGTTTTTAACAATAATTTGGTATATAAATAAAATATAGTTCATAAAAAATAAAAATGTTATTCATTTTAACAAGAGTGTACACATCATTATACACAGGAGCCAATAAATGATTTTATATTTGTGACATTTTTGAATAGCAATAATGAGATCATTCCCATTTTCAGTGTTTAAATAGTCAAAGAATTCTATACATTTAATTTTAAAATTACTTTTAATTTGAAGTTTACTTTCAAAAATTTTAATTAGAAGCCGGTTTCTCTCTTTGCGCCAGGAAACAAACTTTATTCTAAAGATCCTCTCAGTTGCTTCGCTCTAGTGTGGTATACAAAAAAAAATAAATATTTTTTCAAACTGTGAAAAAGTACCACTTTTTAAGAACTTCATCTATATTTCCTCATGGCTTAAATAATTTTTTCAACCACAAAAAAACTGTGAAAGACTAAGAATTCGCTAAAAAGGATATCTAACTCTATGTCTTGTATGCAAAACTCTTTTACAGTGTCAGTAAATTGAGAAAAAGAAGTTGTAAGTTATAGGCAAAAGCAATTCGAATATTAAAATTTATTGTCATTAAATGAAAGTTATTTTCGAGGTAACTAACTCTTGACACAAATCTCAGCCTTTTTTTAAATAATTTAAGCTCCGTCATATTATCGCAACTGGCACGTAACGACCCGGCGAAATGCCCATAAAATGATTGATCTTTTTGTTGTATTAATTTCTTGGACATATCAAACATTATCTAAAACATGTAAACTATAATTAAACTATTTTCTTCCTATTTTTTGCAGTACAGTTTAAGGAAGTTCCAACGATATGTAAAAACCCTAAGAAAATGTTAAGTATTTTGTTTGAATGGAAAATTCAGTACAAATCAATACAAATTTTGAAAAATCTGGACATTGGCGTACTGATTGAACAAATGAATAAAATCAGTACAAGAGTTGAAAAATCAGTACTGTACTGATAAAATCAAAGCGGCCGCCGGAAGAGTTTATAAGTCTATTTATTTTGATTGTTTTTGTTTATCGGCCTTTAAATTGTAAACTGATGTAATTTTTATTTTATAAGCTCGAGGCCCAGAGAATACATAAAACACAGGTTTTAGTTCTTTATTTTTTAATATCGATATTTCGACCTCAATCTGAGGTCATCTTCAGGAACTTTTGGTTGTCGGTCGACCGGGTACAACTAAGAGTTCCTGAAAATGACCTCAGATTGAGGTTGAAATATCGATATTAAAAATTAAAGAACTAAAACCTGTGTTTTATGTATGCTATTTATTTTGTTAAAAATTGTTTTGTTACAACTTTTCTATAAAAGCGATAAATGCATTAACATTTTTTTTATGCAAGATTAACAAAGTTGTGGAAACCACCGTATCTGATTTGAAATTGTCTTGTATGGCATTAGAAAAAAATAATTATTCAGAAAGGATTAAAAAGAAAACACATAACATGGTACTTTAGATGAGCTTTTGCATATTTTAAGTGGTTTTTGTAGTGAAGTTAAATAAATATTATTTGCGACGATAATACGGAGATCTTCCGGTCAAAAATTTTAGCGTAGGATGATTTTTGACCAAGTTAGAATTTTTAAGGATAATCGAGTTTTATTTTTTAATCCTGCAATAGAAGATCCCAATTTTAGCTCAAAAAGTTGTTTATGATGACAGAATAAGAATGCGAAGAAAAAATGGATGAACAAAGCCTTTTGGTTAAACCTTGCCCAAGCGAACCGTACGCGGCCAGTGCTTTGTGTAACGTTGCCAGTGCCCAAATTTTATGAGCAAAAATTGTTAAAAACCTAAAATTTACAACAATTGGGTAAGCAGATGACCACCTGTATTCATTGTAGATGACATACTGAAAAGCTAGCAATATTCGTTCACCCGTTTCGCAGAAATTTCAAACTTTCTGACACAACCCATCATTAAACTTCCAAATAGTGTAACGTAGCCAGTGCACATTCGAATGCCTATAACTTTGAAACCCAAGGATTTATTAAAACCTTTGTTTACAGATACTAGATTGGACCGTGCCTGATCATATCACCTAAAAAGCCCAGTTGGGTTTGTGTTATTTAGTGGACAATTGATTCATACTTAAGAAAAATTTTGTACGAATGTAACGTAGCCAGTGCACATTCGAATGCCTATAACTTTGAAACCCAAGGATTTATTAAAACCTTTGTTTACAGATACTAGATTGGACCGTGCCTGATCATATCACCTAAAAAGCCCAGTTGGGTTTGTGTTATTTAGTGGACAATTGATTCATACTTAAGAAAAATTTTGTACGAATGTAACGTAGCCAGTAAAATAATCGGCCACATGCTTTATAAACATTAGCATATCACTTAAAAACCAGGGACCGAAAATAACAGTTTTTTTTTTGAAGCCACCTTGGCCAAATATATCTATATATATAAAATTAAGTGGCAAAACTTCCTGTTCGCATACTCCTCCTAGACGGCTTGCCCGATATCAAAGAAATTTTCAGGGGTGATTGGGGTCTGTGTGGAGGGTGCACATAAGAAATTTCATGTGTGTATCTTTGCACGTTTTGCAAAAACAAAAAAAAAATTAATTCTGTTTGGCTTTACGTGTTTTTTTCGGATTTCTATCATTCCTAGACGGCTTGCCCGATTTCAATGAAATTTTCAGGGGTGATTGGGGTCTGTGTGAGGGCAATAAGATTCTGTGTGACTATTTCAAAAAAATTAATTTTGCTTTACTTTGATTTCACTGACGCTTCCCATTATATTTCAGGGTGATTGGAGTGACATATGACGAGTGATTGGCTGTGTTGAGGGTGCACATAAGAGATTTCTATCATTCCTAGACGGCTTGCCCGATTTCAATGAAATTTTCAGGGGTGATTGGGGTCTGTGTGGAGGGTGCACATAAAATGAAATTTTCAGAAGTGATTGGGGTCTGTGTGGAGGGTGCACATAAGAAATTTAATGTGTGTATCATTGCACGTTTTGCAATTAATTCTGTTTGGCTTTACGTGTTTTTTTTGGATTTTTATTATTGTTTTGCCGCAAGATTGGCAGTCCTGCCTTTTACTAATAAATAAACAGAAACAGCTGGCGAATGTTTACAATTATTAAAAAACATTGACAACAATTTAATTTCTAATCTTATAACTGGAGTCTACTATCGCACCCTTTCCTCAAACGTCAATATTCAAATAACGTATATTTTTATAATTTGAAAAAATCTCCCTACTATACAAATATGTACAGCAATATTAACTAACTAGCGAATACCCGGCGTGCTTCGCTGCGCCTTAAAAGTAATTTTGTTTTGTTACTCCCTCTCACAACATTTGAAAATATTAGTTAATATTGCTGTACATATTTGTATAGTAGGGAGATTTTTTCAAATTATATAAATATACGTTATTTGAATATTGAATCAATACACGTTTGAGGGATGGGTGCGATAGTAGACTCCAGTTATAAGATTATAAATTAAATTTCCAAGAGAAAGTCGGTTCTTTACATATTTTCTAATTACCTTCGAAAATATATTAACATCAAAAAAAAAAATAAACAATGCTTCATAGATCGATTTTTTTTTAAATCTAACTTCATAAAGTTCTTTAAAAATATTTTGTAAATGAGGCCATAAGAGCTTAGGGGGAGAGTTACAACACAAAAATACATTTAAGGCGCAGCGAAGCACGCCGGGTAATTGCTAGTATAGTATAAAAGTCATTTCCTGATAATATACAAACCGCTTATCCAAATTAAACAAATTTGGTATTAAATGAAAGAGGACGGAAATAGCTTTTAAACAGAAATAACGAACGAAGGTTACCATCTCTATTTGTAAATATTTCTTTTAATTTAACACACAAAAAAAATCATATACCTGACCCAAGGTTAGTTCTATGGTAATTAAATAATATTTTTTATTGAAATATTTTCCAATAAGTGGCTTTCCCCGATTACACATTTCAGTTTAAAGCTATTTTAGTCCTCTTTCATTTGATACCAGACCTGTTTAATTTGGATAAGCGGTTTGTTTATTATCAGAAAATGACTTTTATATAAATATTTGGCCAAGGTGGCTTAAAACAAAAAGTAACTGTTAGTTTCGTTCCCTGTTAAAAACTCATCTATCAGATAAGCTAATATTGAAGTTTTTGCCCTCTTCTTCATGACATTAACGTGAGGTTTCAACTTCCCATAAATGCAATTTCAGAACTTTTGGAGAAATAAGATATTTAAATAAAAAATCCTTTTTCACCTAAAAGTGACATTCTAGAACATTAGACCAGACATTATCTGGTTTTTTTCTAAGAGTCTTATTTCACCAAAATATGAAAACAAGGAAATCATTGAAACTCCTGAAGCAATAAACAGACATTGGTAATTATCTTCTTGTTAGTGTTTTTTGCATAAAAAACTGGGTGACATTCCGGAAATATTGAGCCTTACTTACCATGTTGCAATGATAAATCCACTTAAAAACATTTATTAAGTTATTTCTGATGTCAGTCGACCAATAACTTTTGCGCTTCTTAACTGCAGTGCACTTAGGCAAACAAAACAACTACCCTGACGGAAACAAGTGATTTTTTTTTTTTGAAATCAACTACTTGAAAGACTACTTTAAAACATATGCAATGAGTAAATGATTCGAATTTTCATACTCTTTATGCTCAAAAAATAAAACAATTTGTGTCTTGGAAGTATGAAAAAAGCATCTGGGAAGTCCAGAACGCAAGCGTATTCAAAAGAGAAGTACTGACTCTGAAGTTTAAACCAAATTCATTTTAAAGTAGTTGAAATTAAATGCAGTCGGACAGCCGACTTGCTGCTTGCACACAATTCAAACTGAACATTTGAAAGCACATTTACATGTCTGGCCGTAGCTGAGCGTGCCAAGAATGTCCATGTTCAAATCTCATTTAATTTTAAATTTTTAATTTCGAGTTTTCTTAGTTATGAAAAAGCATCTGTGAAGTGCAGAACGAAAGAGTATTCAAACGAAACATACTGACTTTGAAGTTGTTTAAGCCAAATTCATTTTAAAGTAGTTGAAAATACATGCAGGAAAAGGCAATTGACTGCTTACTAAGACATCGCCATGTTAAATAAATGAGTTCGTTGCAGGTAAAATAGTGAGAATTTCAATTAGTTATCATTGAAAATAAAGTAGTTCATAAATTACTTTCCAACTAAATCAATTTCCTGCAGGGTAGTGTTAGTAATACGGCGGAATTAAAAAAACGTGACACTCTGTAAAATTCTGAGGGGCAATATTATAATAGAAAGCCACGCTTATGCTGATACAATTTTTCAGGCAAAAATAGAATAAAACAATAAAAGTTAAGGCGGTCATTCACAAACAGTTACGCCTTTTTTCACTGTTTCTTTGTTAAAACTTTTTTTCTAGTTGATTATCGAATAAACTGAGCAGGGACAAATCATTTTATAGAGTAGGTAAAATATCGAGGGCTTATATTCAATACCCTCTATCTGCAGTTTTCACTCAAATGAGATGCTGATATAAAAATCCCTCTAAAAGCATAAAGAGACGGCAGCGTTGATCCGGATAAACTCGGGAATTAACTGCAGTTGATCCGAATTAAACCGAGTGAATCCGGATCAACACTGCCGTCTGTTTAAGACAACTTTCATCGATAAAATTAATGCCGACCTTGTATAACGCTTGGCAGAAGAGTTTACTATTAAATTGCAAAGTCATAATTATCATCAGTGATGGCAGGTAAGTCCCAGATGGGTTTTCAGCAACTTGAAACATCCACTTAATTACACTAGAATTAAATGGGCTACAAAACTGCATACCACATTTTTTTCTAAAGATTGTGATTAAAAAGTTTGAAATTTGGGTGAACATTTGCGAAATTTTTATAATTCCGGTGCAAAGTTTGAAATATCAGTTTATATGGGATTTGTGTATAACCATTCAGGCTTTTATAAAAATAAAAAAATAAACAATAAACAATAAACAAACAAAAAATAAATATCGCACTCCTATTAATTTGTGGACAACTCTTTCCTATCTTGTTTTGTATTGACATTGCACTCATATGCATGTTAAATGCTCGTATGTGCTTGTAGTTGCCTCCCATCTGTTAACAATTGGTAAGGGTAAACCCAGTTAACAATAAGATCTTCAGTGCTGGCAAACATTTTATGTAAGCAAGCTCTAGGGTTCAATGAGGTCCATTTTAACGCACGAAGTCTCCGTGGTGATAAGTTGGACTACGTCAGAAGGGTTTTTAGGGGTCCTTAGTTGACGACCTTTGTGTATCCGAAACTTGGTTCAGTCCCGATACTTGCGATTTTTACTACAACATTCCAAACTATAATCTAGTGCGACATGACCGGAGAAGTAAAAGAGGAGGAGGTGCTGCACAGTGGTTCGGATAGCAGATCTAGCTGGACGAAAGTCAAAATTTTTTGTTTTTAAAATACTTAATGGTACTTGGAATACATTCCTGACAATACATTCAAATAGAAATTGCATTTATTAAAGCATTAACATATGAAAACAAACAAAAAAAGGTAAGTCAACGCCGCCTATTTGAGAACTCTATTTTAAAAGCTGAAATTTAACTTAAAAGATTGCTAATTGCACTCACAAATATTTGCATAATTGCAAATTGACTTTATAAACAAAAAATTACACTTATTCCGCTATAGATTCAGGGGTCATAACGCAATTTATGTCCACATTGGTATAAGCAAATTTATTCTGAAAAATCGTCCCGTGTAGTACCCAGTGAGAGTTCGAAGATCCTCCCTGCCTAAATTTATGAGCTTTTTTGAAGCTTCTTGTGATGGACAGATGAACCGCTTAGCTTGTCTTTGCCCCGGACATTCATTCCAGTGCCTTTCGAATTTTTTGTCGACCCACTTGTTTATGACCTCCCTTAAGTGGGCTTTGGTGAGCCCGCAGAAGGGTTCCGGGCCATGGAATAGTGTGGTAGCTCCGTGTTTTGCTAGGCGGTCCGCCTGTTCATTGCCGTCATGGCCCTCGTGCCCCGGCACCCAGCCCAGTAATACTGTGTTCTTGCTTCCAAGACCGTTTAGGGTGTTGAGGCAGTCGTACACTAGTTTGGATGTTATTATGTGGGACCTCAGTGCTAGCAAGGCAGCCTGACTGTCCGACATAATGCAGATGTTTTTAGAGGATGTGCCTCTTCTGAGGCATTCTCTGCCACAGATATCGATCGCATGAATCTCTGCTTGGAAAATGGTGGGGTAGCTGCCCATTGGTATCGATCTTTTAAAATTCGGCCCAAATATACCAGCTCCAGTTTTTCCATCTTCAAGTTTTGATCCGTCAGTGTACCAAACTTCAGCTCCGGGTTTGGTGTAGGGGTTTCCTGTGCTCCAGGATGCTCGGTCCGCAATAGATACCTTGAAATTCCTAGAAATTACTAGTATCGGAGCTACTGAGTCCCTCATATGCATTATGGGGTCATTTGTGAATTTCATAAGGACCTTCATATGACCCTGTCATGTTTCCGGTTTTTAACTCGGAATTGTTTAGGATTCTCAGTGCCGAGAGACTGGCCTCCCTCTCTATTAGAATTGGGAAGGGCGGTATGCCTACAAGAGCACTAAGTGCATCAGCAGGACAGGTCCGCATAGCCCCTGTTATACCAATGCACACCATTCGGTGTAGTTTGCTTAGTTTTGCGCTAGCAGTTCTTTGTGTCGCTTTTGTCCACCATGCCAAGGATGCATAGGTGACTATCGGCTTCACAACTGTGTTGAATGACCAGTAAGTCATTTTGGGGGAGAGTCCCCATGTCTTCCCGTAAAGTCGCTTGCATGCGAAGAAGGCTCTCATTGCCTTGTTTACGGTT